TTGTTTAGCAATTGAACAAGGTCAAAGTGGGGTTGTAGTTATGTGGGTATTTATTACCCTTCAGGTCTGCTTCCGTAAAGACAGAAATGCAGGTGTATTTCAAACTCCCCATAATAAAATGTTTAACAGATAACTTAGTGCAATAGTTGATGGCTATTTAGATCAAATTTTGTTTCAATTCCACAATTGAAATTCTGCTGAAGTTGAGGATTGCAGGGATGTAAGTATTCAAGGCTTAGCCCTTAAGTTGTTTGTAACAATGAAGATGACAATTAGCAAGCCAAGAACAACACTTAGGAGCTGGCTTCAGGAGGGCGTGTAAAATCATGTTTAGGATTTAGAGCTTTAGCTTAAAAATAGTGAAGAATTGAAGTGTTTTAACCCGAGAAAAATATCATCCGATTTCTACATAGTATTCCCTGTAATGTGATTCACTGATTGAAAAGGGGCAAGGTGGAGGAGGTAATCAGTTAGGAGGCGGTTACAGTCTTCTAGGCTTATTTTGGTGGGCCTGGAGGTGATAAAGAATGGGCAGAAAGTCAGAGAATACTGAAAAGAAACGGTAGGTGAATGTGTGGTGTCACAAAGCTTGGGATATGGTATCAAGTCAAATGCTGACCAGGGATAAAATAGGATTATTTATGGCTTATACCACAGAAACCTTAATGAGGTTTGATCTTGTCATTCCTCTTCTTAGAAGTATGAAATGGCTTCTCCTGGGCCCGAATAACATCTGCACTCTCTGCTGAGACATCCCAGGGTCTGGTTTCATCTACCTGTTTATACAGCATGTGCCATCAGAATGCACCTATTTTGACTTTGTGGAATAAATTGAGAAGTGTTGCTTCTTGTCTTGTAGAATGCTGCCCAGACTGGTACTTATGCAGTGTGGAGGTATATAGATATAGGTAGATATAAATATTGATATACACACACACACACACACACATATATATATAGTACTTCTCCCATCTTCTCCAATTATAAACCTCTTAAGAAAAAACAATGTGCTAATTCTTTATCTTCATCACCCAACCTTTCTTATTTTAGTGAACAATGAATATTTATTGAATTAAAATGATTTCTTATTTCTTATCCCCTTGTGTCCGTATTTCAACAAAACCTAAATTCATGACAAAAAGTCTCCACAGAAAACTTTGAAGTTAGTTTCATAAATGTTTAATCACATTGTGAACACGTGTGACAACCTTAAGATAGCAAATGACAGGGCAGAGGTATGAGAGTGCATAAAATTCTTTATTTAGAACAATAAAGTATATGTATATATAATGTAATTTCAAATTCAAACCTGTATAAAAAAGGGGTCAGGACATATACCTATTTTAAAAAGTACACATACAGTATATACACATACACATCACATTTTACAAACTTTTTATTTAATTAAACTTCAGTCGTAATAAAACTATGTAGGATAGCGTTGACATACATTTACATTACAATATGCAAACTCCAATCTATGACTGAACTAGGGGTATATACTGGGCATTCATCTAAATGAATACTTTTCAAGTCCATTGATTTAAAAAAAAATGGTGACAAGTGGACAGTATCATCACAAACTAATCCTCAGAATATAGGAGAATAAGATATTTTGATTGAAAAATTATATTTAGTGAGTCTTGTAACTCAGAAATCAAGTATTTGGAAACACCATGGTTTTTAGTATAAATAATTACCTTAATTTTATTTAAAAAGACCTAATAAGGATATAGTTGGAGATGGCATTTATAAATAAAATTATAATGCTTAGCAAACATTTTAGGACAATAAATACCCATATGAACATGGATTATTTCTAAAACAATACTTTATGATGATATGAAATCATTATTTTATCTTTACAAAGGCATAGCAAGACTAGTTCATGGAAAGAAGGAACACAGTGAACTGTGTCATCAAAGTCCACCAATGAACTAATTAGAATTTCAATCCAAATGGTTATATTTGAAAGCCAATTTTGAAATAATTTCAAGGCTAAACTGGCTTACTTTAAAATCCTTATCCCACTTTCCAATTTTAAAATGTAATATATGGATTACCCTTTTATGAATTGGTTCTAATATATGGTTTGGCATTTAAAAACTTTATGAACATCTTACTTTTCCTGCTCTTACCTTTCAATAAAATCAGAACATTTAAATGCTTCATTTGGTACATTGCCAAATGTTACACACGTCTTACAGCTTCTCGGTTAAAATGACTAAAAAGGTACTCTTGGTTTTCATTCTTCAGAGGTGATCCAAAATGTTTATTTAAGCAAAGGAAAAAGCCATCTCTTGTGTAAATGGTTATCCAATTCCCCTTACTCGAGATTGAATGTCACTTTTACTAATGGACCCTATTTACATTAGGAACAAGAACATCAACAACTTTTTTATGGTAAAGATGCTTATTCACAGAGGTCAGTTTGCATATTTTGAATGGGATAGGTTCAGCTCCATTATCTTGGTCAGTCATACAGAAATGGGGCTCACCCCTAAGGAGTGCCTTCTGAGTTTACCAGGCGGATAAATAAAAAAATTGAGATCCAAAGAGGGGAAGTGATTTACCCCATCAGTTAATGACAGAGTAGAAGAGATTACCGATAATCTTCATTCCACTATGTCAAAATGCCTTTGTGAAATATCTATTTCTTACAGGAGAATCAATTTGGAATGGCTAAAATCCCCATATTGGAATCAAATTTTGAAACCAAAACCTAGTTGCAGAAAAAAAAATTTAAAAACCTGTGATTTCTGAATGGATTTTTCTGTTCACTTATACTTCAGTTGAATTAGAATACTCAAGTGTGCCATGAAAGCTTCTTCAAAATACTTCAATGCTCAATGAAATGTACTTAATTCTTACTAAAAGGAAATATTTCATTATGTACATATACTTTTTCATATATTATTTTTTTCACACCTGTAATCCTTTTTAAGAGGATAAGTTACTTGTTCTAGTATCATACTGAAAAAAGTCAATTTGCCTCTGACTTATTAAAATGTGGCAGTGTGGTAAGCACATTAGATTATGGTACGATATCCAGAAAAACTTCACGATCACCAGGCAGGCACCATTTATTATAGAGCCAATTTATGTATAGACTTGGTTTCTACCAAAGAGGTGTAAAGCTTTCAGTATAATTTAGAATTTCCAGATTTCTGAGATCATTTCAAAAGGTGATTTTGAAACATTACAAGAGAGAACTATCAGAGGCATGGCACCCACTACAAAGGAGATTTTGTGGTTTAGTATCTTGGCGATGAGTTTTCCATAATTTATGAAGAAGGATATTTAGAACACATTTGGGATAAAACAGCAAAGATATATATATATATGTATATATACCTATTCTCAATTTCATAGCAGATATGACAGTTAATATCCAAGCAGCTAGCATCCAAAGTAATGTTCAGCATTTCTCTATTATTCATGCACTTTATTGAATTTTAGTGTTTTAAAAATTGGCCATCCATGTAACTCTCGATGAACCAATACATTTAATAGGCAGGATGTATATCCCCTCCCCTCCCATGTCAGATTTTGTAACTTGATGAATTTGTTTAACTCCATTGACAAGCTTTGAGGAGAAAAGTACATTTATTGTACTCGCAAGCACATTAAACAGCATTTTCAAAGGCCCAAGTAATTTGAAACCATTGGTTAAATAATCAAACCATCAGCCTGAGAAGTTATTTGTCTTCTCAAGCTACACATGACCTACCATCACTCAAATTAATCTACATCTGTTTCCTTCAAAACAGTCAATGCCTTATACTGAGACAGGACCATTCAGCTATTAAATGGGTCTCTGGTTTTATTACTAATCAATTGTACCAGGGGATAGCAGAGGCCCTGCACAAATGAATGCAGCTTCCCAAAGCACCTGGGTCGTATCTTAGAGAAATGACAAGGGTTTAAGGAACCACAGCACATTATCTGGGCTCTTTGGTACCAAAAAAAGAACAAAGGCCACTTACTGGAGTTGGTTTGGGTTATCTTCAACGTAAGTTGAAATCCAACTACTAGAGAAATTCTTGGACTTTTGAAATGAAAGGAAAGCTAGGAGTCAGTTTTTCATGTCCTTTTGTATCAGTTCATTGAAAATGGTCATCTGTGGTGGTAACACATGGCAAGGGTATCACTGTCATCATCACAAAGTTACGTTAGAATGGAAAGCTTTGACTTCGTTTAGGTGTACATCACTGAGGTGTTATATGTTAAAAGAACCTTCAAATTAAACCATAAAAAGTCATTCTTTAGTCGGATGTTCCCTTCACTATAAAAAAAAAATGGCAAGGGATATTCACATAACGCCTTATAAGATCTAGTTTAAAAGTACAACGTCCATCTTGGGAATTCCTGCCCAATTTACTCTTAATATGACAAATGCTGTCACACATTTTAAACAGCAGACTGACATGCAGAACTACAAAAAGCTTTCTTTTTATTTCTAATTCACAAACCTTAATAAGATAGAGTGCCTGATTTTAAATAAATGGTTCCTTTAAACAGATAATGGTGATTATACTATAAATAACTAAAGTTTCCTGATTCCTTGCGTTCTTGTAAAAAAGCCAAGTAACCTAGTTTTTTTCAACACCCTTCTTAGCTTGTGGGTGTGGTTTTCTAACCTTAGATACTAAATATCATAATTTATTTTTATTCTCTCCCATGGTGGACATTGAAAATGGGACCATCTTACACTTAGCGTTTTCTCCTAAGTCCCTTTACAAAGCTCTGTAATAGTTTTAGAATATAAACATGTCAGAACATATTTTGCAAACATGATTTATACACTCTAGAGGGGGCGAGGCACAGGGATACCTTCCCAGGGGTGCCCAATGTTCTCCTCAGCACACTGTCCTGCTGGTCAGCGTTCATAGCATCTTCCCGCCATGACCCTCTTGGAGCGTCTCCCCTGTGCCAAGGCGTAACTCAGAACTGGCTCCCCGGCAGGGAGAGAACCCGGCAGCCATGTGCATTTGTCTGGCGGGATACGGCTGAGCATGGTTTACATCAGGAAGAGATCAAGTTCAGACCACATCGTTAATCAGCAACTACAAGGCTGTCACGTTGCCAGCTTCAATCCCTTAGTTCCCACTGCTTTCAATGCCATAGAACGGCTGCTGCTGCTGAGTTTTTAAAATATTTTCTTGATCTCCTTGAGAAAAATTATTACCCCCCCCTTCCCCACTATCCAGGCTGAAATCAACTTGCAGAAACTGAGATAACTACGGACTGCAGGTTGTATGTGAAGAGTAAAAGGTAGTTTTTCAGCATTTAGACATTTCTGGAGCCATGCAAAAGGCGCGTGCCCGCCGAGACCCGTGCGCTCTCCTCCAACAGCAGTGGCGAGTTCTACGTGAGACCACAAGTCCCCCAGGTCCTTAAAATAGTCTTGTTCCATGCAAGTTCTTCTTTATAGACGATTAATTCAGTGCCAGTTTCACAGTAAATCTCTCTGTTCCAATTTCTGAATCATCCCCGTAAAGTCATGAGTAGCAAGGACAGATAAAGATGCGGCCTGTCACTCCAGACAGAATACGAATTGGGTTAAAGCTGCTTCATTTATGAAGCAAACATGAACTGTTACCATCCTAGAGAGGAGGGGAAAAGAGAGATTATAGAGTGGCCTGCGTTCTGCCTTTTTCTCCATTCTCAATAGCTGAAAACAATCACATGAGACCAAAGAACGAATCAGAGATTTACAATGTGTCTCTATCTACATAGCCTAAAAGACTTTGATATGTATTTTCTAAGATGAAATGATCAGTAGAATTCTCTGATCTCCCTGCTAACACTTAATATATCTGAAATGATCTTAACTATTTACAGTTTATCTCCTCCCATTAGAATGTATAATAAGTTCCATGAGGAAAGGGGGCTTTGTTTATGTTGTTATTGTGTTTTTACTCCTGTATCTCCACTCTTATAACAATGCCCGCCTTATAACAGACAATAGATGTTTCTCGAACCGGAGAAGACATGAGCAAATACCCTGTGGCTTTTTTACCCCCCAGACACTGCACCAGGTACCTCAGTTGATGATAAGAGGGTTATCAATCTATTTCACCTTGAATTTCTCTAGCAAGGCTACGACAGACAGAAGACAGGGGGTGAAGGGAGAAGAGGTGAAGGACGGGGCAGCGTCCCGAGAGCAGAGAGCGGAGAAGTCAAGATAATAAGTCAGTCATGACAAGCCTGGAGAAGATAACCTGGGGCAGGAGGAGAAGCTGATCAGAAGCCGCCAACAAATAGCAGCCACAGGCTCCAGGCTGCCTTGCTGGGGTCTAGCTCACTTCTCCCCACTGAGGAAACACTACGGCAGCAGCGAGATCTCACTCGGTACCTCCGGGTGTGAAATCCTGGCACCACATCCCGACAAAGCCTCTGGGAAGGTTCATCTGGCCTCAGCGCAGCTAAGGGTACTTGGTGAAGCGTGAAAGCTAGCCTTGGTTTTGGTACTTCGGCGCTAACGTTGAGCCACTGAGTTTTCTGATGTTCCAACTTTCAGTAAAGTATTTGTACTTCCTTATCTACCTCTAAGAATTAAATAATATCGTCACTGTTCCTTCAATCCCACCTCCTAAATAATCTGTTCTGCATTTTTCTTCTTCCCTGCATGCTCTCCTTCCTTCCCTTTGTCCTTATCCCAGAATCCCAGATCACTGGCTTCAAAGGATCGAGGTCATTACACAGATGATCTATAAAATTCCCTAGTGTGAGTAACAAGAATTCCAGCATTTTTTCCCAGCCTCTCTAAATGTAAGGTGTTTAAAAACTACGTTACACAACAATTTAGCAAACAGAGAACTGTAGAAACTGGAGACCCTATGCTTTAGGAGAGTAGAATTAATTTTTTCCCTTTCATTAAATCATAACTGTGTACATTCATGCATTTATGGGGTACCATGTGCTGATTTGATGTACAATGTGGAATGCTTACATCACACTGATTAATATAACTGTCTCCTCTCTTAATTCGTGTGGTAAGACATATAATCACGAGATATTAAGAGAAAACTTTAGAAATCCAAAACATGTAGAAATACCTCCTGGTTAGGAAAGCAAGAGGAAATCACAGAAAGCAAGAGACGTTTTTTAAAAGCTAGGACTAAGAATTTGAAATTCTAAACTTAAGGCAGAGCATTAAATGCACAGAAGCAAAACTGGCCATCTATTTTTGATGTTTGCTCCTGGGTCACTTAGAGAAAAAATAAACTAGAAGTCTGACATTTGTTTACCCATTGAATAAAACTACAATTTTTATAATGATACCCTGGATTCTTGCCACAAAATAAGAAGAGTGAGTATTATTATCCCCTTATTGCACAACAAAAAACCAGGAGTTAGTTCAACAACACAGGGACTGATGCATCCAGGATTCCACGCCTAGCTAAGTCACAGCCAGGGCTTGAGCCTAAGTCTAATTCCTTCTAGTCCTCTGCTTCACAATATGTCGGAAATAAAGCTCAGAAACAAAACTGCCAAATCTTCAGAACCTATTTGTCAGGGTCCCTTTGTGGATGCCACTTATCAGGGCCCAGGACTGGTCGGTCTACAGCCCTGGCTTATCTGGGTTCTGGACACAGACGGCTAAGGTACCTTGCTCAGGAACAACTGCTCTTAGGTGTCTGAGGGCTATTTACTTTAGCTGACTGGGGTGTGGGGTGTGGGGGTGTGCGATGGGAGGGGAGATAGTCTTAGAGTAAAGCAGTCTTCTTAGACAGATCTTAGTCTTTAGAAGAGCTTAGTGATCTTTAGCAGAGAGACACCATGCTGGTGTTCTGCAGGCAGGAGAGGAGACAGAGTCAGAGTAAGCGTGTCCGTGATAGAATGTGCATGCTCCCAACTGCCTTCTTCTCCAGCCTAATATAAGGCTGAGCTTGTGCCTCTCAACACCACAGGTGTAGAGACTGCCAATTCACCAATGCTCTCATCTCGCGAGCTCTCATGCTTATTAGGAGAGCTACAGCCCTCTCCATGCCCTTTTCACCAAGGTGTTCCATTATTGAGCTATACAGGTATTTCTTATAACTCTCACTCCTCCTAGTCATAGGCTATATGGGCTGCCACACCTATTATTAGGAAACATCTGGTATATTTTCAGAGATGTTGCCATTTGCTAACCAACCATGCCTAAGCCCTATGGCCTCTATTTTCAAGCCTGACTTTAGCTTGTCCTTATTCCAATTCTCGGGTCTATTTTTTTTTTTTTTTATGTCTTAGCTCAAATACACAGGAAACTTCTAGTCTGTGTTTCCTTTATGAATCTCCCCAGAAGCCTAATTATAATGAGAATAATTTATACATTTGCCATGCTGGGGCAAAGCCAATAAATTGCTAAGTGTCTGCAAACCCATGATACTTAGACTCCACCAAACAGGGCCTTCTCTGTGTCTAAGCACTCTTTCTTCTCAAGTCTCCATTAAAGATTTGGAGATGTTCTCAAATTTCAAATCTGTTCTTTTCAGTGCTGTTTTCTGAAGTTCCAGTCTTAACATATTTGGCCACTGGTCAGTTCCAATAATATAGTAGAACCTCCATAAATGACCACCTCTTTACACTGTAAGGTGAACTAATTTTCACAGACTGGACACGTATCACATGTATGTTATCAGTACAGTAGACCTATTGCCTTCTGCTGACCATCTGCATATGTTGACCAATTTGTTATAGTCTCCTGGGTGGTCAACTTAACAGAGGTTCTATTCTGTTTACCAAAGCTCCATCTCCTGACTTCCTATTTTCTTTCAATGGCATCACCAATTGGTGAGTCTCACAGGATCCAAATCATCCATCAGAACTTTGATCTGTTGAGTCTTTGCCGCTCAGATCTTTATTGGAAGACTAACTTCACAGGTGGACTCCCTTTCTCCTGCTCATCACTTCCACCACCTGGCCGCACCAACATGCAATTATGTTTCCTTTACTCTGCCCATGATTGTATGACCCACATCTTTTCTATACCACCCTCTATAGCTCCTTACGTTACCCAAGGGAGTTTAAGCCCTGTTCCTGAAATTCAAACTCTTTTTCAAACTGACGACCAACCATCCTTTCTTCTCAGCATTTTAACCCTTTATATATGACTTCCACTGAAGTCCAGCTGTACAAAGTGAGTCTTGAACGCATTACAGTTTGTATTTTTGTGCCTTCTTAACTTAGTGTATGCCATTTGTCATAAATATTTAGCTCAATAAAAATGCCGCTTGCATCACCTACATAGCAAAACCTTTCTCTGCCTTCAGATAAAAACATTGCACATGGGTGTGCATGGCACAATTCTAAGAGACACCATCCACACTGCCATCTGGAGCTGTGATGACTTAGTGTCTTCTGCTGCCATATGCAATGGCCCTGACTTTGATCTCCTATTGAATTTTCTTTGTAAGCACATTTTATTACTTTTTAACTTTGGATCTTTTCGTTTACTTTTGACAATTGGTCCTTATGCTTATTCCTTTTGTTGGCTATAAGCAACTTACAGAAGTAGGTTATATTAAGCTTTGCATCCTTCAACGCACCTACGAGGGCTTGCTGGAATCACATGTGTGGGAAGAGTAAAGAGCACAGTTTTACCACATGTACTAACATAAAGAAAGCTTTTAATATAATTTATCTATATTTTATTTCTCTTAATCCGTGCTATACACAACCCAAGCCATAAATGTTCTTGCAAGATGCCACACACAGATACCTGGCATCAGCCAAGTGGTTAAATGGATTTTTAACGTTTCATATATCTGTTCTCTCCAGTGATGTTAAACACAACTTCAGTATATTTTTCTTTAGGTGCAACGTTTTTGTTTCTAGTTTATTACTTACATTCCTTCCACGTCCTTCCCTTGTATTTAAACTATTAAACCCTCCTTATTTCTCTTCATTTACAATTCTAAGTTGTTTCCTTCCAAGAGCTAACTATTCCATATGTTCCACATTGCAGTGTTCCAATATTTGCCTTGATTTAATTTGTTTTAGTTGGTTATACTTTCATTTCAGGGAGAAATCCTTGCCATAAACCTGAGTCATTCCTTGCATTTTCTCATTTCCAGCAAACCAAAAAATGATTATAATCCAAATCATACCTATTTTTTTTTTCCAGAATGTATAATTACAACTCCACAGTTCATGTCTATCTTGGTTCTCTTTACTATTTTTATGCTTATTTGGAGGGAAGAGTTCATCTCCTCTCACATGATAGACTGTTTTCCCATAACTCTCTGCCCCACATAGACTCAGAGCCACTCAGAGGGTTCTGAACGTCTACTGGTACAGGACCAAGCCTAAGGCTTACTCCACACGATGGATAGCCAATAAATGATTATAAATGAGATGTACACATTTGGGTACAGGACCAAGCCTA